TTTTTTTCTCTGAATGCCCTCAGGCGTGGTTTGGCTGGCTGGAGTGTTGTGGGAATCGAACTACAGCAACCTGAGGCTGACAGCTTTGTGGAAGCAGCCACTTAAAGAACTGAGCTATGGCCAGGCCCCCTAACCTATATATTGATGAAGAGTACTGAAAGCACAAATAATGAATTCTGTATATATAGGATATAAGGCCAATATACCTCTTAATGTCCTTTTATTAATGGAGAAGTATAGGGGGGACTGGAGGAGAGCAAAAGGCCAAGAATGAGTATAACAATGTGTAAGTGAAAAGACAAAAGCAGGATAAAATAATGAACAGCTTTTCAAATCTGGAACTACAGCATAACTAGCTATGCAATTTTTACTTTGGTACCTAACTTAAGTCTTGGCTCTTACCTACAATCAACAACAATCAACTCAAAGGATATTGTGAAATTGAAATGGGATAATACATATTTCTATATCTAGCTGCCTAGTTTCCCCACCAAGACTAAGCTACAAACTTCAGAGACCATGAATATTTTATATGCCACTATCTACTAAGTATTTGGCAAAATGCTTGGCACACAGTAGACATTCAGTAAGTGTTGCCTACCATTAAGTGTTTTATTATGAAAATTCCAAATATAATACCTTGACCTCAGCACAATATTACAAGTTTGATAGTATTAGAAAGAGATCAAAGATTACTATTAGGGCTGGGGATTTAGCTCAGTGTCGGGTACTTGGTTGTTGGGTACTAGGATGTACGAGGTCCTAGATTCAAACTCCATCACCAAGGGGAAGAAAAATATTACTGCCGTATTTCATTATAACTAGTGCTTCTCCTTCATTATAACAATCACACAACCTTTGAAATCTGACCAAAAACAAATATTCAGAAAAACATGTCCTTGGAAATACTACATAGTTAAATCTATACTCCAAGGAAGAAATACATGTAATTTTCCTCTTTCCAAAGAAGTGTTTTTCAACTAATGGTGATTTTTGTCTCTAATGGACCATTTGAAACTATTTAGAGAGATCTGGGCTTGAATCTAGTGGACAGAGTGTAAGAATGCAGCTAAACATCTACAGGATACAGGAGAGCTATCACAACAAAGAATTATCTACTTTAAAATGTCAATACTGCTGAAGTTGAAGGGGCAAACGCATTAAAAATGTAGAAAGGTAGGCAAAAATATAAAATTGCATAAGCATTTATAATTAGGTTAGGTTTAACATTATCAGCATGCCTATTGTTACAATTTATATATATATATATGGGATTGAACTCAAGCTCTTGCCTTTGCCAGGCAGGCAATTAAGCGGATGAGCTATTTCCCTAGCTCTCTCTCCCCCCCTTTTTTTTTTTTAACCAAGTCCATCTGTCCTTCCATCCTTCCTTCCTTTTCTTTGATTGTGCTGGGGAATGAACCCAGAGCCATATACACGCCAGGCAAGCCCTCTCTAACACTGAGACATTTCACTTCCAGTTTTGGATTTTTAAGGAGAAGTTTAAAGGAACCTAGATTTGGTTTTTCTTTTTTTTGTTTTTTTCTAAAATATATTCCAGATTGAGAATGATTTCTGAAATCTTATGTCAATAAAAATACAAAAAAGCGTCCAATAGCCCAGGGGAAAAAAGGTATATAAAAATGCTTTTTTAAAAAAAGGTGAATGGATTAGTTTTTCCTGCTTTATTATGTATTTTTAGTACTTGATGTACAAGGTCTCACTACACACTTGTAGTGATTTTCAGGCTACCCAAGCACTGGGATTACAGGCGCCTCACCATGCCCAGTCTCTGTTGCTGTCTCAGCACACCCTGGAGATGGGGGCAGGGCCGGCATGGCATGCCTAAGCAGGTGATTTAGTCTGCTGAACTATCTGGCTGGCCCTCAAAAATGCTTAATTTCAAGATTTGCAAATAAATTATAAGCTTTATAAGAATGTAGTTATATCAAGTTGAAAGGAGACAGGCTGGCAAGATAGCTCAGTGGTCTAAGCCTGCTTAGGCAAGCTTATGCAAGCGTGCAGGGACCAAGGTTCAATCCCCAGCACCACATGCCACGTCAAGCCCACTCCCAGGGTGGGCTGAGCTGGCCACAAAAAAAAAAAAAAAAGTTGAAAGGAAACAAGATGTATATAGCTTGTAAAATTAGAGAAAAAGGAGGGGCACAAGGAAAGCCATCATTTTGGCCCTAGCCTTCCAAGGTCAATTAAGACTCAGGACATATGAGATCTTGTACTATAACATCACGTAACTCAGTAGTGTCCCAAATTTTCTGATCAAGGAGATTATGGGGCCAAAGAGGAAAGTAATTGATGATGTAGAGCGTGCCTAAGGAGAATAACATGGAGAAAAAATATTCTCTCAGGCTTTCACAGATAGCACATTGGCCAAGCAATGGCCGTGATTCATCCACATGGCTGACACTGACAAAGGTTCTACAATCTGAGGTACAGGATCTCAGGATAAATCCTGAGGGTATTTCACTGACCTTATCAGACCCA